GGGGGGGGGACTGCTAAAGTGCCTGCGATTCAGCTGCGGGTGTAATGCTTCCCTTCATCTTCTCACTCTCAACTTTTCATTATCAGCCTTCACTTTGCTCACTCCCTTCACAGCTAAACTCTGCACTCCCCCGCTCCCCCCCCCCACTTTGAACAAAATGTGCACAAATTGCTAGTTTTTGACTATCCAAAGCCTGCAAGTGGCCACCCAGATACCGTATGGACAGAATGTGCTCAGATGCGTCAGATCGATTGGCATTAATAACAAAAATTATTCAAAATACAAATACAGATGAAATATGCTGTAGCTAATTCTGATTAGAGCTGATGTTGGGTTTGCGCTGCCTGGTCCAGGGCCTTACAGATAAATACAGAAGGGTAAAACCAGTGGGTTGCTGGGGCTGAAGCGGCCTTCCGGAAGGATCTACAGGGAGCGGCTCAGAGGAGGATCATGTGCTTGGGAAGGGTGCTCTGCTTGCCGGCGGACTTCCTGGTGCCGTGGCGGCGGTGCTTGGGCCCTCTGCTGGTGCACGGCTGCCCACTCACCCTGCAGTTGCAGCCCTGCTGGTACCGGTGGTTGAAGCCCTTTTTCTGGGCCAGGGTCAGCTGCTCCCACTTCTCGTTGAAGTTACAGAGTCCGGTGTACACTTTGCCATCATACACACGGCCTGGGGGGTGGGGGGAGAAATGGTATCAAGTCCAGCACGCCCGAATCATAGACAAGTAACAAGAGCTACTGATAACTGAACAGTGCTTCAGGAGATTTCAGCCGTGGCTTCAAAGCAGTTTACTACAGTAAGATGATATAGTACAGTAAGCGCTCGCAAACCGCAGCCCCCTATTTCTGTATTTCCAAAGGTCGCCTGCGTTATATTAATAGGATCAGGCCACAGGCGGCTCGCTACAGAGGGAGATTGCAGCCAGGAAGCAGGGGCTCTGCGGAGCTCTGAACTCCGTCATGCGAGACGCCCGTCATGTGAGGGTGCGGCACCTGGCCGCCGCCGCTAATGCAGCGGATGCAAGTAGTAAGATGGATGAGCAGCCTGGACACAGTGTCAGGCCTGGAAGAATCCTCTCCCCCCCCCCCAATCTCAGGGGCCTTGGGAGGACACACGTTAAAAGCCAGGCATTGAGGAAAATAGCATACAAAGTGCTTTCCCTGCTTTATCCAGCGAGGGGGAGAAAAAATTAAGAACTATTCCAGGAAAAAGGGAAAAAGTCAGGAAATAATAAAAACCTAACCAAATGCATTCTACCTGCACACAACTGAATTACCCCTCAAATTTAACTGGGAGTTGTAAATAGTGGGAAAGTAGAGTTAGGGCATCCTGCAGGAAATTTGCATGAAATGAGTAAAGTTGTGCTTAGCTGCTCTGCCCGGCTGGGGAAGCTACGGTGTGGAGATACAGTCCCGCAGTGGGGCCTCAGAGCGCTCCTACCCACCGAGAGAGACATTCACTCTGATAGGAGTGACCTTTACATGCCAACAGAACATCCACTAGGACCAGCATTTTAAAGAATAACTTCCCTCAGTTTCATTCCGTCCAAATAGCAGCACTTACCTGTGATTAAGTACTGGTATTTGTTGACATCAAATTTGACGCCGCATAAGCTCTCAGAAGCAACAGTGTAGATGTGCTGGACATGTTGAATCTTATCAAATCCTTTATACATCTGCAAATAAGGGGAACAGACAGCTAATTAAATATCACATAGGGGACTTTTGAGCATTTTCAAGCAACATAAAAGTATTGAACAGCAGTTTAAGTTGACTTGGCTCTTCATATAAAATACATCTTGTCACTATATTGTCCAAAGCTACTACAAAAACAGGAAATGTCAGCGATTAAAATGAAACAGAACAAGGATAGAGCTGATGTGAGACTTAATATAAAAATGTTTATCAACTGTTGCTCTAAAAATGCCTCTTTACATATCTGGAAAAGGCACATCATTCAAAATGAAAGTTTCCCTTAATGTCAGAAGCCTGATAAATGTGTACATGTGTCTCTCGTGGCAATGTTGAGTACAAGTCATCCAAGGTCGTACTATATTTACTCCAGAGAAGCCAGTAATGGTGCAACTTCCTGACCAGTTACTCCAATGTTTCTCCCCCCCCCTCAGATACTCTGAACACTATAAAACATCAGGTATGCCTATGTGGGTGGGGGTGGGGTGGGGGGCGTCATCTTCATTCACCGAACACTAATGGTCAGGGCATTGCAATGTTGACAATTTTTTATTTTTTTATTTTTTTATTATCTGCAATGGATCTGTTCATCAACAGGAAATCCCTGTTTAGAGTTGCAAAAAAACAAAACCACAAACTTCCAGAATGAGAAGCTGGAAATGGCGAGGCAATAGAAGCCATTTGGACTGATCGTTTGTCTGAAATAGAGGCTGCCTAATATCTTCTATGGAACTGCTTTCAGAACCATATACGGGATCCCCGAGGACACGATGCGTGTCAGTCATAACAGTTTTGTCTGCAGGAAGCAGTTGTCTGAAGACCACTAACACTGCTGGTTACAGCAGTTTAACAACCCTGCGTAATCACTGGGCTCAAGCCGGCTCTTAAATGCCAGGATGTACCATTTTCTTTAAAGTCAATTCCAGTACGCAATCTGTTTAGCTACAAAGCACATTTAAATCAAAAGTCCCCTCGTAAAAGGTTTCCGTCTTAACAGCGGTCTCAGAATGTTTTTGCCATCACCTGCTTTAAGAGAGGCGTGTCCCCTGTCCTTGGTTTATAGGCAGCTGTGATTTAAGAAGCACAGGCAGCAGTAGCTTAGCGAGTGGCAGGCTCACCTTCATCTGCTTGACCGTGTATCGCATGGTGCCGAACGGGCCATCCTTGAGAAGCTTCTTCCCCACCACCTTGGCCCGGATAACTGCAAAACATACAATCACTCCGATTAACTGAATGGCACGATGACAAAAGCAGGACAGCCACCCGCCAGCACAGTCCCTCGGAAAGCCCTGAACAGTGGACTAGCAGGTCTGGACTCATGTGGGTAGAATCATCTCACAATTCTGTGAGGTAAAGTAGAGGCAAAAGCAGCAATGTGAGATTATACGTCAGGTGCATCATGATGATAATGCTGTGTGTTCGTTGCACTAAGGGTAAAGCCAACTTGTGTGCTCACATTGTAATGCATCGCAAGCTCTTCAGTAGAGTGGTCTCAAAGATTACATGCATAATCACCACCATGTTTGTATTCCCATTAGTTTCGCATTATTTTTGGGAATGGTGAATCGTTGATTTGTGCATCCCTAGAAAGGACTCAAAAGGTTCAGGAGACCATAAAACTGAGCCCACTTCTTCCCAGAGGGCACCTCTAGGGAGAATGGCACCAGCTTCAAAGAGTGCCGAAGCGGAGAGGCTCCAGACCCTAGTGCTGCCATATTTCTCCCCCCAGGGCTCACTGAGGACTTGGCTTTGGATACCTCCAGCAGACTGTCAGAAGGCTCCAGAACAGCCCTAAGCTGATCCAGTTCTCTCATCCAATTTTAACCATTTCAGATGGTCTTGTTGCCACAGTGATAAAGGGGAGTCTGAGGTAAATCTCTCACTCTGGAGTCTGTACAGTATAAGACTGGACACATTGAAAGCGCTGAATAGTGTAAAGATCGCAATGCATCCCTTTAGAAGAGCATTAGAAAAAGCAACAAGATATGCAGAATTTTAGTCCGAGACATCATTCAGCATAGCACTTTTTTTTTTTTTTAAGTGGCTACAGTGATAAGGCCCCAGCTTCTTTTCTTCAGGGACCAGCTATTCAAAAGTGTGTGTAGTAAACCGGTGCCTAGACATGGATCAGTACCAACACAGAAATTATTTGTTCATGCCCCCCCCAAGATTTACACAGGCTGCACATTCCTGCTGTCATTGTGGGGTTTTGTGACCTTTTATCATAGGGAGCCATGGTCTAGTTATTATCCACATATAGACATTCAGAACACTCTCTGCTGTGTCATCAGGCTGTAATTTACAACCAGCAGTCACTCACTTTGACATGGAAGCGGCCTGCTCTTCAGTTATTTTCATGTAGCTGTCTCTTCTGTTCTTTTATGCAGCACCTTGGGTTACGGTGCAGGTGAACCCACTGCTTATCCAATACCATGCATGCCATGGAAGTGTCGAGGCAAGTACTCCAGCAGATGCATGTTAAACGCTTGTTAAAATGGCTAATATTGCTTAATCATCTGTAAATATAAGTCTTAAGGAATCACCCTTTCAGAAATAGTGAAATTCACACAATTCTAATTATACAGGTTGGTTTCTCTCGTATTGGGTCACTTCCAAATCTCAAGGAAGGCCACACTGCTAGACTGAATACATAGAGGTGTGCATCCAATAAGTTACCTTTTGGGCCATCAGTGATCTACAAATAATCTGTGATTTACTTCCATTCATGCATCACAAACATTTATCCCAGTCAGGGTCATGGAAGAGTCTGGAGCCAATCCAAGGCAGCACAGGGCACATGGCTGGTGTATAGCCTGGGTAGGGTACCAAGGGTGGGGTACCAATTTATAACGGGGCGGTGGTTAAAATTTTAGTCTCATGTAATCAGTTAATGATACACACATGTATTGTTGCTATGATAAATATGCTGTACTAAACAGGCCAACATAATGAGGCAGATGGAGAGTTGGCCAACAATTCTGGGATGACACCAATGTGATGTTTATTGCCAGGCCCTGTCTGTCTTTTACCGGACCATAATTCTGGGGATGAAATCGCCCACATGTGAAAGCTCTCGCTTGCCAAGTTAGACAAGAGCATCCAAAATGGACTGATTCACTTCCTGCTTGGAGCATGCTTTGCATATGTTGTGCATGCAGCTCCATGCGTGTGTGATATGTAGCCTGAATCAAGCTGGCCAGCGGGCATGGGGACTGGCGCAGATGACTGCCACCTACAGCCAAGCAGTCGTTTGGGGAGGGAGGGGGGGGGTTCTGAACTGAAACAAGCACCTACACTGAAATTACGTTACCCCTGGAAGACTGCACTAGATGAGGTAGATGGAAATATGCTACAACATACACTGATACGATTTGAAAGTAAACAGCCAAACCAAGGGTCACCATAAACCTATTCTGAGTGTTGACATGGGAGTACGGCAGCGTTTCCCCCAACCTGCTACTTGGGGACCCTCAGACTATCCCCATTTTTGTTCGGCAGGGAGCCAGGAGGGATCAATGTGGACTGTCAAGGGGTCCCAAATGACCCCATTAGAAAACATTGAAGTAAGGCTGATTTGGTGGCACTGTCCTTTTAGAAACAGGCCTCACCCTGGGTTGTGTTCACTTCAAAGTGAAAGGGCATCCAGACATGTCACTTCCTGACCAGTTCCCTCAACGCTGTGCTTAACGGAGTTTAACTGGCACAAGTCTCCACCACAGTGCGATAATTGCTTGGCCGCAATTCAAGCGTCTGCCTTTGTTTAAGTTTGCGCAAGCTAATGGCACACTTTCACGGTCCTGTAAGGAGCAGTTGACTTAACGCATGTTTACTAAAGGCCACGAGACCATGAAAGCAGCTGGAGGAAGGAGAACAAAACGAGAGGCATGACCATATGTTTAAATTGAAGCGTGGAAAAAAAGGTTGCAGATGTTTCTTACTTGTGTGTTTCTGGGCCTACACCTAGTTTAACCCAAACCAGCAGATAGGTGAAGCTTGAAAATGTTACATCTCCTTCCTTAAATTTCCTGCACTGAAATACAAGACATCCGACAGGGTACATAGCAGATTTTGCTGATCACTTAACAGTCCACAGTCCTGCAAACATGACTATCTTTGTCCTTGATTATGTCCTCAGGCTTTTACTGGCTGGTCCATTTGTTGAATATTATACCAAGAGTTCAAATAAGCTGATGTTCTTTTTTCCTAAAGAACCCACACCCAGAGCACCAGTGGCAAGTAGAATTAGGAATAAATTGGTGGTGGGGCAGGTCTAATACTTGCATTTGTGTGTTGTACAGGAAGTATGCCATGCTATATACAAATTCATAATCATTCAAAAATGGTAAAAAAAAAAAGTGTTAAATGGTTAATTATAGAAGTATCACCTTACATCAGCTCAAAAAACCCATTTTCTTACTCCTTAGGAAGATGTGGGCTCCAAATTATTCCCTTTATTTCGACATACTACCACCATTCTGGGTAAGGCAGGGAACAACCATGGATGGGGCACCAACCCATCACAGAACACACACACACACCATTCACCTCTATAGGTAATTTGGCAACTCCAATTAGCCTCAACATGTTTTCTGGACTGTGGGAGGGAAGCCAGAGTACCCAGAGGAAACTGCATGACAACACATGGAGAACATGCCAACTCCACACATATGGAGCTATGGTGGAGACTCACACCCGGGTCCAAGAGGTATGAGGTAACAGTGCCAACCACTGTACCACCATGCCACCCCTATCCCGCTCTCATCTATTCCATGTAAAGTTACATAACATACTGTGCTTAAGTCTTGCATTTTAATTAGGGATTCCCTGATGCCACGAGGGACATTCCTGCCCAACTTCCAATGAGGGATTTTATGACAGTCACACATAAGAGCATCTCTGCACCCAACTGTAACATCAGACAGCTGAGTAACTGTTCACCTTCCAAGTACCAGCATAGTGCTGCTCCTGTCTCAGTCAACAATTCCTGTTGACAAAATCCACTTTCCCCAACCCTGCCACCCCCAAATGAAGTAGCCTCTAGCTACAATCGTGATTTAGTTATCAAATAATGCTTAATTCTCACTTATGAGTCACAACTCACTGCAGCCAACGCAGCCCCAGAGAATCCAGTAATGGTGTAACAGATTTCTAAATGTTTAACGGGTGGCTTAACGGTATTCCACGATAAGGCACTGGATCAAATCAAGCGAATCTGTTGGGTAGGACGCTGCATAGCGGCTACGCAGCTCTGTGGCTTTGATGGTCTTATCTCAGCAATGACAGCTAACTAGAGCACCAGCAACTTGTGTGGCAGAGCATTCCTGGTGATGAATGCGCCACACATTTTCAAGCAAATTACAATATCTGCATACAGCCCATTCTAATCCAGATGTCAGTATACAACAGTACAGCACGGGCATGGGGTCACAGCATGCGCATGAACGGAACAATGTTCTCCAGCATGAAGCCAAAGTTTCAATAGTAAGTGGGCTACTTTTATTATAAACCAGTTTTTTTTGAGGAGGAGAGTGGCATAAACTTGGTCATGTCTGCCACTTCTGCTCTCCGTCAGCCGTCTGAGCCGGCAAATCCAGTGATCGGGACTCTGATATGATCAGGGATAGAGAAGTTTGTCCGCCTTATTCAAACAGCATTGAAATAGCTGGCGACCTGCTGTCTCACAGCCCCGTTTTATTGCTCTGCGAGTGGTCTTTTTGCCCTGAAAAACATAACACTGGCACCGACTCGTTCCCATGGACACAGTTAACTCTTCCCATTACTAAAAAGTAGACAAATTACGCTTAAGTAGTTTATCACCGGCCTCGTTTAACTATTAATAGATCTAAATATGTACATGTATATCAAATTGCAATTAAAGATTAGTTATAACGCTCTGCTTCTACGATATGACTCCTAGAATAAGATCATCGCAGCTTTAAAAAATTTTCCTGGAAGCCTACATATTTGCCAGCGGACACTTGTTTACGAAAAAACAACGTCTCAACGGACAGTTGCACATTAACATAAAAATATTTTTTTTAAATTTCAGATACTCCGTTTACATAAATCGACCACCTGTAAAAGAATAAATGCCATTTAAAAAAAGAAAAGGTTATTACCTCCCGTAGAAGTTTATCTGCTGCGCAGCGTGCTGGAGTAGCGTCACTTAGAAAGAAACGCTACTTCCAGCACTCCGACATATTCACGGATACAAAATCATAGCGATTGCAAAGTATAAAAAAAAGCAACCATAGGCTTACCTATGTCCGAGTTGCAGAAGGCATCCTGCGGGTGAGACAGGGCACAGGAGCAAGCCTGTGCGATCTGGTGCAGCGGCAGGCAGAGCACCAGCAGCAGGCTTATAACAGCGCACTTGAGTGACCGCATCCTCGCTTCTGTACTGTTCAATGAAGGAGCGCACCGTAGAAAGTCAGCTCTGTCTTAGCGATCGCACGAGTGCCTCCGATCCTCCTCGGTCTCTCTGAACGCTCCGGACTCGCATATTACATATAGTGTGCTAGAGGCGAACGCCACCCACCGCTAATTCAGGCCAGCTGCTCGGCGGCCAATCAGCGCGCCGCCGCTGAAATAACAGCAGCATGAGCTATTGGAATGGACTACTCAAAGAAGCGCTTTTCCCAAACTTTTGTTTTTTTTTGTGTTCAGAGGAAGATTTCTGTTCCTGTTTGAGCAATAACATTCACCCTTCCCCAGAGCTGGAGGAAACTACGTGTTAGATAAGCCACATTTTATAAGCTGATGTCATAGTGCTTTTATAGAATATGAGGCATGGATAGAGTATGGCAGTGTGTATTTATCCGTTTTCGTATACTGTGAATGTCTTTGTGCATGTATATAATATATATCGCTTATTTCGTGATGTTCTGTATATAGATCTCATTACTTGGGAATGGAGACTTTTGTTCACTTTTTCATGTATCCATGGAGCCAGGCCACCCAAATGATTAGTGGCAACAGTGAACATGATCAGATCACACACCAGGAAACCTGTTCAAGACAGATTTCTGTTGGGGTCTGAGTTGCAGCAGAAGTACTAAAAGCAACTCTCTGTTTGTTCGTTTTTTTCTTGAAGTTTAAATATATAATGCTTATGTAAAGTATTTCAGTACGATTCATACGTTTATGACAGCCTTGTCATCTAAAGCAGTCTGAGTAATGACGAGGCTTCAGACTCATAGCCTGGATGCCACTGGTTCTGGTCCCAAGATTGTGCTCGTTGTTGTACCTTTGAGCAAAGAACCTGCTCCAGTTAAATTACAGGCTCTGTTAAAAATGATTAGTTGTTTTGGATGAAACAAGCAAATCAAACACTCTTCAAATTCACGATTCCCTTATTAGGGCAGTTTCCTATAGGCCTAAATGATGGGGTTTTGCTTTATAAAGATGCACCCTTTATATAATTATTACCAAAACATTTGTACTCTATTGACTGTATCATTAACAAGTTTCGACTTGCACATTTATGAATGTTTCTTTTCTTAAAATAACTTATAAACCATTACCAGCCCTGATGTAGCGCACGCGGCAGCACGGCTATTGTCCTGCTGACATGGTGAATTGATTAATTACTTCACACTTGTTTCTATGTTGTTAAATATCAGAGTGTTTAAGAGGTGATTCTGAGCCAACTGTGAAATGCATTAATGACTCAATTTTCTGTCTTATTGTTCTGGCATGGTTTTAGGGTTACCATAAATTATGGATTTAGATGATGTGGTCTTTTCCTATTAGCCTTAATATGATAATTTGAATGGTGTTTGTTTTTGAGTAGACTCCACTCTACACATGCACATATTTTGTGTGCGGTCAGAAGATGCCAAAATTATTGCGTTGAACTGCATAACTGGGTAATGAGGCAAAATTGTGACATATGAACTATGCGCATATGACCATTCGCTGAGGGAAATCTGAGAAATTTTCAGAGATTTTCGGGAAGACTAAGCCCAAGGTCATTGTAAATTCTGGCCCAAAGTCAATCATACCTCAGAAACATTCTTCTCATGTTATAATTAGGTTACTTTCCTTCCTTCCTTCCCTGACTTCCTGTAGATGCGGGACATAAAGTGGGGTGTAGCCCTCAGAGATCAGGCAGTGAGTCAGCACACAGCATTCTTCCTACACATTCTATGAGCAACCCAAGTTAGACAAACAAATCAAACTGCGTCTGGTAACCATGGGGAAAAACCTACACAAGAAAATATACTTGCTACTAAATTTTGGGTGGTTATTTTGTTTATTTCAGCTTCATATTTCGTTCCTATGGTTTCTTTATATGCATTTCTGTTCATTGCCCTTGACTAGTAATGTTTTTTCTTTGGCATGAATAGAAATCATCACCTCAGTGGTGATGGTGGACAAGATACGTTGTCTTCCCACAGATTACTACTGGTGGAGGCATCTTGTGCCCATGGGGTGTTGAGCGTGGTGCTGAATAGTGGTAATCTGAAGTCATCAATGCTCTACCAACAACATTCCACAAGGAAAACATACCTCACATTCTAATTACAATGTGAAACTATTCCCACGCATGAGGGCAACTATCCATCAAGAGTATGTCGAAGGAGGTAATTCCATCATATAAACATGCTGAGATCTGCTTTATCTTGCTCTTATGTATGCAGGTGTAGCTGCCACTGTATTTATATCACAGAGAACAGGGAACATTGTCCAGTTTGTGCACTGTAGTTAATATCTTGGTCTTACAGGTAGTTAGACATCAGCACCTTATGCTGGTGGGACATTATCTAGTCAGTCTCCTCCCTGGAAATATGAACATGTGTGTCTAATGCAGCTGTTCCAAATTGTTTTGCCTTGAGGCGTCCCTCTGAACTGCAGCCATTTGAATACACATGTTGCTCTCCAGAGTCACCACAGTTCAGTAACATGGCTATAAAAAGAACGAATGGGGCATGACTGCTAGCTAGTGGTGGGAGATGAAGGAGCAGCAGAGCAGCTGCATTTCGGGTGAGCAGAAGTGGCCTTGCGGAGCGGGCGGGGAGGTCAGCTAGGAGTGAGCTGAAGAGGGCCTGGACCAGCATCTCAAAGGGTTCAGAGCAGCAGGCGAAAATTCCTCTGGCATTGTGCTTGAGGACCATGCAGGTTTTTGTCAGACAATATAAATATTCTGATATACTGTCAGAGAAAGAGAATGTGTTCATAAGCATGACCTCGAGGCTCTGAGGAGCCAAAGCAATCAATGTACTTTGCAAAGTGTAATGATGGGATGTCATTTGTGTATTTGCTATCTTTAGATTGAATCTCTTTCTTTGGTGACCTTTATGTCAATATCCACAAGTAAACCCTGTTTGTATCCAGTGAAGGGCTAAATACAGAGAAATATTTTACCTTCTGATGATGAAATATTGAATTGTCAGCATGGGTCTGGCTGTTTTTTTAGGACATTTGGCAATAGAGAAACAAAAACAAACATCACCCACGGTCAAGACCAGGACAAATTGTGAAAATAACTGAAATGTTCTATTTGTTGTTGAAGTACATAGTTGGCTATCTCAAGGGGCCTTTCAGTGAAGATCACACCTACCAGTGATCTGTGAGCTTTTGCCAGGGTTCACATGATGTCGATTGGCGTTTTTGAATGAGAGCGGAAGGGCCTTTATATAATACTAGTACTTTAAACCTAGTCGTTATTCCTTGGGTTGTTGGTCACTAACACCTTGAGATTAATTCTCCTGATCCCAATCATCGAGCTGTTCTTCCTCATTAATTGAGAGACTGTAGTCTTATCACCTAAACACAGGCAACAGTTGCCTCACAAAATCCCTTAGGGAGGAGTGTGTTGGCATATGGTTACCATAGGAGGGAGGCAGTTTGCAAATTACTGCCATCCAATGGTGCAGTCAGATGTTACACCAACATTTGCTATGACAATCTATATTAACCCTCCTGTTATTCTTATTTGGGGCCACTTCTCATCTGCTAAGTTAGTTACTATCTGAGGTGACCTTTTCGTCTAGAGTGACATACTGTACATGCCTCATGGTTTTTAAGAGTTGGTTCAGACAAAGCAGCTCTTTATCTACCATTTGACAAAAAAAGAACCATCTCCGTCCTCATGCACAGCGGCTAATTAATAAGGACACTAATTCATGTCCATTGAAGTGATACAAATGTGTCTTCTAATAGGCACTTCCCTTGACCATTGCTTCCTTGTGTATTTCTCAAAAATATATAAAAAATGAATGACGTGAGTGTGGGAATCAGAGGAATAGGTTGTTTCACATGTAATTCACATAAAAAATATTTAGCCAGTAAACAAGAGCCATAACATATTCCTTTGATTTCTATCTGAAAGGGACCAGGGATTATTTTGAAGTGAAGCCCATGTTTCAGGTAGCTCCAGACAAATTAAAATGTTGCTGGCAGTCAAGTAACTGTAGAAGGTGATGCTAATGACTCAACAGAAAGCCTGAGTGACGCAGCCCCGGAGCATGAAATCAGCTCAAGTGTTTCTTCACATAGGCAGCATTGACTGAATGTTAAAATAGCATAACATTCACCAGTGATTAAATTCTTCAGCTATGTCTTCTTTGAGTCCAATATTTGTCCTGTATATTTACTCAGTTCTTACTGTAAATGCCCCCCTCCTGCTATTTAGACTATTGATTGAACATATTCGTCAGTTAACTTGCATTCTTTTCCTACCACCTCCTGCTAGAGTGACAGAAGGCCTGTGTTTATTCATCTGTCCATTCTTAGTAACAGTTTATCCAGCTATGGTTAGGTCACCCTGAACTTACTCCAGGAAGCACATGGGTCCAAGACATGGTTTTCCATGGTTAGGAGGCAAGTTTTTTGTGGGATCTCAACTACAGTAGATGACTGAGACAGGATGTCTCTGGTCTGTGGGAGGGACAGAGTGTCCAGTTTTCAGCAAGCACAACACCTGCTGCCCAGCTTCCATAGCCGTTACCTGGCTCTCCCCGAACCTGCTGCCTCTGCTGCCAGTTAGAGGCCCCGGCTCAGGGTCACAGTAGCCAGTCGTTGTCTGGATTCATTTACAGCCTCGGTTTATAGGATGAAACCTCTTTTCTTCAGCCTGGGGTCAATTCCTTACATTTCGCCTTTGGGATCAAAAACTTTGAAGTGGGAGAGACTATAAAACTTTAGTATCTAAGGATTCTGGGCACCGTTCTTGGATTCTTTTGGAGTTTTACTATTGGCATGCATGAATGTTATTAAAAAACTCACAACTGACAGAATGGAAGCTGACCTGCCAGCCAAATGGGAAAAAGGAGGAGGATTTACACCATGCGTTTACCAAATTAAGATTCCTTTTTACTTAATGTCAATGTATAGCGGCTCGAACTATATTTGAGAAAAGACACAATTGCAAATCTTTTTCTTTTTTTTATGATAGGGCATTTTTTATGGTATTTACCTTTTAATTATTTCTTATTTACTTATTAGTTACTTATTAAGTCAAAGCCATTAAAATAAGCTGCAGGTCAAAGTGTTTTAAAGTTTTAATTTATGTTTAATGGTCTTTAGTGTATACCCTTGTAGATCTCAGCTCAGACTCAAAGTTAATGAGGGTTGTGACAGATTTTTGTTTTTTTTTTGTTAATAGAAATGCCAGAAGTATGAATCGGGTTGAGT